TTCTATAAGATCACCTCTAATTCTTCTATATTCTAGAGAATACGTGGCTAGTTTACTCAACCTATCTTCATAGGTCAACCCCCTCATCCCAGGAATCAACCTAGTGAATCTACGCTGCACCCCCTCTAAAGCAAGTATGTCCTTTCTTAAATAAGGAGACCAAAACTGCACACAATATTCTAGGTGCAGTCTCACCAAGGCCTTATACAATTGGGGCAACACTTCCCTACTCTTGTACTCTAACTCTTTTGCAACGAGCCCCAACATGGCATTAGCTTTCTTAGTTGCTTGCTGTACCTGTATACTAACTTTTTGTGACTGGTGTACAAGGACAACCATATCCCTCTAAACACTAACACTATCTTGTCTCTCCCCCTCTAGAAAATAATCCGCTTTTCTATTTTTACTACCTAGGTGAATAACTTCACACTTCCCCACATTATACTCCATCTGCCACCTTCTTGCCCACTCACCTAGCCTATCTATTTCCCTTTGCATTCTTCATGTGTCATCCTCAAAGCTTACTCTCTCACCTATCTTCATTTCATCTGCGAATTTAGATATGTTAAGTTCTATTTCCTCATCTAAACCATTGATTATAGACTGTAAATAATTGAGGCCCAAGCACTGATCCTTGTGGCACTCCACTAGTCACATCCTGCCAATCTGAGAAGGACCCGTTTATCTCTATTCTCTGTTTTCTTCCTGTTAGCCACTCTCCAACCCATTCTAATATATTACCTTTAATTTAATTTAATTTAATTCTTATGCAACAGCATTTTATGTGGCACCTTGTCGAATGCCTTCTGGAAATCCAAATACACCGAACTTCCAATCACTGGGAACCATTCCAGAATCCAGGGAATTTTGGAAGATCAAAAACAAAGTATCCACTATCGTCCAGGGGATTTATTGGTTTTTAATCCTATCAATTTCCCTAGTACTATTGCTTTACTGATGTTCATTTCTTTAAGTTCCTCACTAACATTAGCCTCTATTTTAGGTAAGTTTTCTGTGTCCTCTAACGTGAAGACAGAAGCAAAATGTTTGTTTAATGACTCTACCATTTCTTTATTCCCCATTATAATTTCTCCTGCCTCTGCCTGCAATGGACCCACATTCACTTTTGATAGTCTCTTCCTCTTATGTACTTGTAAAACCTCTTACAATCTGTCTTTATGTTCCTAGCTAACATGTAGGAGCAGGAGTAGGCCATTCGGCCCTTAAAGATATAATACATAATTCTACATAAATTAGCTAGTTTACCCTCATATTCCATTTTCTCCCTCTTAATCAGTTTCTTGGTTTTCCTTTGCTGATCTCTAAAGCCCTCCCAATCCTTAGGTTTACTGCTCTTTTTGGCAGTATTATAATCCTCTTATTTTAATTTTATACTTTCTCTAACTTCTTTAGTTAGCCAAGGTTGAACCAGTTTTTCCGTGGTATTTTTATTTTTCAAGGGAATATGTGATCGCTGGGAATTATGCATTATATCTTTAAATGTTTGCCATTGCTGGTCTACCGTCATTTTTTAAATCTAATTTCCCAGTCTATTTTAGTCAAATCTTCTCTCATACCTGCAATGTTGGCTTTATTTAAAGTTACGACCATTGCTTCGAATTCAACTATATCACTCTCTAACTTAATGTTAAACTGTTTGAGGCTCTAAACACACAGCTAATGTTTTGCAATAGGATGTGCCTCCAAAGCTTCAAATTTATTGAAAGAGTTTACCTTAGCAACTTGCACGTCTGTAATGCCTTTCGCATAGGATGATCTCTCAAAGCAGTTTTCAGAGACAATGTGGATCACCAAACAGGTCATTTGCTGATGGGGGGGCGAAAGAGTTTGTGAATGTTGATCGATGATTATTCAAAGAGGTAGCCCTTTAGGAAGGGTTTGAAAGCATAGAGAGAAATGGGGGTGGGGTGGGGGTGCTGGGGAATTCCAAGGAAAGAGAATTTATTTCATAATAGGTAGAGCTTTTTCAACAAGACTTAGAGGGGCCGACCAATCATTGCATCAAAGTACTCAGCTACTGTTAAATGTAACAAGCTTTGGCTCACCCCGACCTTCATTCCTCCTTAGAGAGTGCACTTTTCATTCAAGGTAATAATAATAATAATCCTTGTATTTGATGTAGAGTTTTTCATGCCTTCTAGACGTCTCAAAATGCTTCACAGAATATAGTGTAAAATGAATTGACTGTATATGTGTAGGTAAAATGAAGTTCCCATACAGAGGTGGAACTGTCCAGTTTGGATACCTTTTAGCAGGGCAATGGGTTGCCACACACATCAGAACAAAGCTGCCAACCCCTCCAAAAAAAGTTATTAGTTTTTTTTACAAATAATCCTTGCATTTGATATAAAAACGCCTCACACTGTAAAGTATATGGATTGTGTATTGTGTAGGCTACTACAGTAGCTCCTTTCCCAGTGAGTAAGAAATCTTCAATGAATCTTTACAAGTAGCCAATCATGTATGATCCTAAACAAGGATTAGTAGGTTATGAGGAGACATCGCTGTCAATATCATCCCATATCTAAATATTGATCAGGATCAAAATTTGGGATCGATTTCTCCTCTCTCGGGGGCGATGGGATGGGGGTGGTGAGAGATGACACATGTTTCCTGTGAATTCCTTGCTCATCAAGGTTTGTCATAGAAATTATTTTTTTTATCTTGGGCACCCAGGACCAGCACAAGATATACAGTAAAGGTCAGGTATATTGGAAAAAAAGATCATTATTAGGTGCAGAATAAAACACTGCCTACTCAGCCTCAGTGTACTACCCACTTCAGTCGTATACCACCCACCCAGTGGTCTCTCCAAATTGAAATTTCCAAGTAGTCTCAAATTAAAGATACAAAGATAGGTGAGAGAGTAAGCTGTGAGGATGACACATGAAGAATGCAAAGGGAAATAGATAGGCTAGATGAGTGGGCAAGAAGGTGGCAGGTGGAGTATAACGTGGGGAAGTGTGAAGTTATTCACCTAGGTAGTAAAAATAGAAAAGCGGATTATTTTCTAGAGGGGGAGAGACAAGATAATAATAATAATCCTTGCATTTGATATAGCGCTTTTCACGTCGGGAGGACGTCACAAAGCACTTCACAGAACACACTGTAAAGTGAATTGACTGTATATTTGTGGGCGAACGCGGCAGCCAATTGCGCACAGCAATGTCCCATAAACAGTCGTAGATTGAAAATGACCAATTTATTATTGTTTTTGGTTTTTGGAGGGATTATTATTAGGCGTGTGGAGTAAGGAAACTTGCCCAAGTTTTCGCCCTGCCAGGAATTGAACTCAGGTCTCTCACTTGCAAAGCGAGTGCTCTAACCACTGAGCTATACAGGACTCCGATAGTGTTAGTGTTCAGAGAGATTTGGTTGTCCTTGTACACCAGTCACAAAAAGTTAGTATACAGGTACAGCAAGCAACTAGGAAGGCTAATGCCATGTTGGGGCTCATGGCAAAAGATTTAGAGTACAAGAGTAGGGAAGTCTTGAAGCAGTTGTATAAGGCCTTGGTGAGACTGCACCTAGAATATTGTGTGCAGTTTTGGTCTCCTTATTTAAGAAAGGACATACTTGCTTTAGAGGGTGCAGCGTAGATTCACTAGGTTGATTCCTGCCATGAGGGTTTGACCTATAAGAAACCTATAAGATTCTTAAGGGTCTTGACAGGGTAGATGCCGTGAGATTGGTTCCCTTGGTTGGAGAATCTAAAACTAGGGTCAGTCTCAAGCTTAAGGGTCAGCCTTTTCGAACTGAGTTGAGGAAACATTTCTTCACTCAGAGGGTAGTGAACTTGTGGAATTCTCTACCCCAGAAGGCTGTAAATGCTCAGTCGTTGAACATATTCAAGACTGAGGTTGATAGATTTCTGAAGGTTAGAAGAACTGTGGAGTCCTGTAGCTCAGTGGTTAGAGCACTCGCCTTGCAAGCGAGACACCTGGGTTCAATTCCAGGCAGGGAGAAACCTTGAGAAAGTTTCCTTACTCCATACGCCTAATAATAATCCCTCCAAAAATGAAACAAAAATAAATTGGTCCTTTTCAATCCATGACTGGTTGCGGGACACTGCTGTGTGTAAATGGCTGCCGTGTTTCGCCCACAAATACACGGTCAATTCACTTTAGTCTATTCTGTGAAGTGCTTTCAGACATTGAGATGTGAAAAGCGCAATATCAAATGCAAGGATTATTATTAGGGGATATGGGGATAGGGGGCGTAAATGGAATTAGGTTAGAAGATCAACCATGATCTTATTAAATGGCGGGGAGGCTCGAGGGGCCAACTGGCCTACTCCTGCTCCTACGTCTTATAATCTAATAAAATGATCGATTCCTGCTAGAAAATAATATCTTGGGATACATTATATAGTTTCAGACACAACATGTCAAGCGATTGCCAGGATGGTGTAAGACGAACTAGATGAACCTTGGTCTTGTTTCGCTTAGCAAATGCTTAGGTTCTTTTGATTGTGTTCTTATGAGGTGATCAAGGATTACAGCAGAAACTGCCAAAATAAATTCCACAGTATTAAAATGTCCTCTTCTATCTGAGGCCAAATATCACTATCACCACTGTCCCACAGAACAAAATTTATTTGTTGGTAGCATAGTTCCTTAACCCAGTTGAGATTGACCCCCTTCTGATTGACATTTTCTATTTTTTTTAAGATTTCCTCTGGTACACAAATCCTCTCGAGATTGGGTAGGTGGCCTGTTAGCAGTCTCTGCCAATGCCACTTAACCCAAATCTTTGGAGGTACTCAAGATCATCAAGGCTTTCTGGGCCAGTGGGCTAACAACCACTAAGCTACAAATTAATCTTGCACATTCTGCAGTGATATTCTTATGTTTTCTTCTGGCTTGCAGCACTCCGTGACACTATCCTATGTGAAGGGCACTATATAAATGCAAATTGTTGACAGGCATGGCTTTTTAAAATAAAATTGGAACAGTACAAAACAGAGAACAACCACATGATAGCACACAACAAATTTATTTTAACGCAACATACATATGCTCTACATAGGCTGTTGGTGTACCAGGTTTTTGATCATGGCAGAGAAAAGTCATGCAGCAGTATATTAAAATCACATGAGTGACAAATTATAGAAAACCAACATACAATATGGCAGTATAACTGGAGAACTTTTAAAATGTTTATGCAGCATATGTGTGAATAACAATACAAGACTTAATCAGAGCCAGATCGGTTTCTCTTGTAAGTGCAGAACTGCTACATGTACTCGACATTCAAAATTTCAACCTCACAGAAACAAAACCACTTCAAAAAACCCACCCAAAAAAATCCTACAAACAAAAACACACAACTTTCAAAAAAGTGTCTGGAATTAAAATGTGCTTAGCTAACAACATGCAGAATAAAACCTTCACACTTAAAATATTACAATAAAATAGCTGTTAAACAATTACAGAATCACTGCTTCCATCAAACAAACTATGTACATTCTATACACAGTGCATCAGATGCTTTCTTTTCCATCTCTCAGTAGCAGCAAGCATATCCTGCTATTGTGCATAGCAGTACAAACTCGGGAGAGGGAGGACGTCTAAATATTACATAGCTATTAATTAATAACTAGTTTTTTTCTACATGTCAGTGCTACATCTTTGTGGATACATTTTTACTGTGCAGAAGTAATTAAAATCTTTCTAAGAAAGAAAGAAATGCACATAGTTTTCTTGAAAATAAAAGTGCAAACATCTAAATTCAGGCAACTGAAGCCAATGTTTAACCTGTGCATGGAACAAAAGGGACCATTATAATGTGGGCAACATATCTTCTGCACTCTGTGAGACTTACACAATTTGTTACTCTTTTTGAAAGAGATTTTTCATAAATAAGTCAGCCTGTTTTTAAAGCTTAAAATGCCCAAATGAGTAAAGATTTTTTTTTAAAATTGCACCTATTTTAATACTGGAATCAGATTATCTTAAAAAAGCTTTTTGTTTTCTCATCTCCCAGAAATTCCATTAATTGAGCTGAGCAATCTTCAATGGTTTATCATTTCACATGCTTGAATTACAGCAGTAAAGACAATGGATTATAAACATGCACGTTGAACCTCAACATACCAAGATTAATCTGGACTTTTTAAAAAAACACCCAGAAATGAAAACCCAAATTAAACTATTTCAAACAGGAGATTCTTTGTTGCAGAAATTTATTGAAAAGGATCATTTCCATGGTGTCGGTAAAGTTCAGTCCCCCCCCCCCGCCACTCCCCTCCTTAAAAAAAACACAAGTCATGGACATCATGAAATGACGAGTCATTTTGTAAATTAGGTATTACTGCATCAAAAGTAAAACATGTGGCTCCCCATTTGTCTTAGAATCCCCAGGGCAAAACACACAGAGAAATTAAGATTGAGAATGTTTAGGATTACATCAATAGTGTGTGTTCTGCTTTAGCTGGTCTCACCTGGGGTGGGAGGAGCAACACTAATATTGAACACATGGGTTGGAAGTGTGAGGGAAAATGACTACAAAAATCCACTGCTGGTAATTCTATATTCGAGGACCAGATCTGGTTTGGCTATAACACCACTGTTACACAGCTGACTCTCATGGTGATGCTTACATATCTCATGGCCAAGGTACTGCATGGCACCTGGCATCAGTAGAAGAAAGAATGCCTTCACAACATGAGGAGAATTTTTAAACAAAACCAGAAGCCTCTTTTGGATGCTTTCCATTCCCAAAATTGCAAGAGTCTACATTTTGGTTTAAAAAATCATTTTCACAAAAGTACATTATGACAAAGGGAGATAATGCTCCTTTTATTAAATATAAAATCTTTGTATACAGTAAATATTTGTGGGATAAAATAGGAAAATCTTGAATATGCTCTTAAGGTGCGACTGAATAGACTTAAGTGTGCAATAACTTGCTAAAAAGTGGAAAGCAGATGGAATGAATGACAAATTCACTATTTTGTTATGTAAACCAGTCATTTAGCCAATCTCAATTTCAGCAAGGCAGCACATTTATTTCTGCTTAAATATTTTAAGTGCAGATGGTAACTGGTTTTGGAAGTCGAGTAGTGTTAGCTACTTAGGAGACAGGATATGCTACTGTAGAACCTTTGGATACAAGAAGGTGTGCTCATTTTATTTCTTCACCCTGCACTGACCCACTACTTACAAAGTGCAAAGCAAGGTTAGAATGGTTCTCTCCATTCCACTGATAATTCTGGAATCTATAATCTGTAGTTTTTGGAAACAACTTCAACGAAACCAAAAAACGGACACTTATATAACCATCATATCCTGAAACATGTGCATTAGTTTTAAATGGGTAGCCAAGTGTCGAGAGAATTCATCTGTAAAAGTTGATGTGGGCATATCTGGGAATGCTTGTGTGACCAACAGCAATTACTTCTTATAAACAGGAATTAACAGTGGCTCCTAGGTCCTGAATCCACACATATAAATACTATTATTAAGGATTAAAGCTGAAAATAATTTATAGAAAATGTACCCTTTCCTCCCAATTTACAAACGTTTCCCTGCTTCTACATACAATACATTCAAAACACTGTCCCACGTTCCAGAGACTGGTGTGTTAAATACTGGTATTTCACCTTTGTGAAATAAAAATTGCTTCATCCTATCAGCTTACATTATAAAATACTTGGTTTTATGCTTCACTTCCTTTTTATTTGATCACATATTTGAACTATGTTCAAAATAAAATGTACACCATATAAGAAATGATCATGTCTTTGCCAATTGCCCAACATCTGAATATTAGCTGGTTTAACTTTTCATGCTTTATTCCAAGCAACAAACCCTAATTGGTCTGCGGTTACATTTTTGGGATTAGTTGCAAAAGTAGCAAATTCACTACTACATGACGATTCCTCATATGGAATTCTATTCAACATAATAGTCTGCTTTTATAGCTATCAAAGACCAAGTGTACAACTGAGGCAGTATTTCCTTTCTCCATCTTTCCATTCCATTGTGTTTTATACAAACATAAGCTACTATATTAGCAAAATAATTTTTCAGCAAAAGCAGCTTCATTTTAGACATATTTTACACAGATTGGAATTTTTAAGATTCAAATCACCATTGATGCGAATCGCACCTAGTGAAAGAGATGCGTTAGGAGTTAGGTCTACGATGAACCCAAGATGGAAGCTGTACATTTTTAAGACACCAATCTAAGCAAAGGTTAAAATGAACCAACTGATCTGAATCAGTTTTTGTGTGTGCAGATCTCACTCCTCCATCAGCGGCTGTTACCGAGTTATAGGATGAGAGCCCTGCTTGCATTGCTGGCATTATACGCGTTCAGGTACCGCCGAGCCTGTTCGGTCATTATCAGTTGATCTTCTGTCTTTCCACAAGCCACTGCTTCCCATTCACTGCTCATCTGCAGAATCATTAAAAGTAAAATCAGTCATTACATTTCACAATAATCCTATGAAGCGCTTTGAGATGTCCTCCCAAAGTGAAAGCACTATATCAAATGCAAGGAATATTTTGTTACATTATTTTTCTAACATTGCCATGGATATCTACTGCCTGCATGACTTGCAGAACTCAATATTAGAGTTGATGACATACATACCACGCAGCAAAAGGTGACCCAGCCATTTTTGTAGTCAAAATTAATTTTTTGAAAAAAGTTAGGCAAGTTTAAATATTAACCAGATAGAAGACTGAGCATCATACAATAAAATATGGGCTGGTATATCCTTATTGTCAAAGATAAGTGACAGTCAACTTTAAATAAGTTGAACACTTAACATACATTTAAGGATCCCATAGAATCAAGTTGCTGCAAACTTTCTAGGGTCCTTTTGCCATTAGGAATCCATCTTGTCTCTTTGAAAGTGATTAATAATTGGTCCAAATGCCTAGGTTCTCAAAAGGGAAACACTTGTCTGATGGAAAAACGCCTTTTTCTCAGCAATTCTCCCACGTTTTAACCCTGGATTTAGTCCCATCGAGGATCTCAGAACTAAAACAAGGTTATTTGTAGATGTCACAGTAAGTCAATACCACAACTTACCTGCCTTGGAGTTTCAAACCGTATACTTTTTGATGTAGACATTTGTTTTATCTCACACAAGGTACCATTTCCTCTCCTAGTAGCAATAGGTTTTTCAGACATAGCGACCCTCAGTAATGAGCTTGTCAAAAGGATTTCAGACTGTAAAACAGAGGTAGTTTATTTTCCATTGTTTTAAAATAGTTTTCCTCTTCTCATTGTTCCCATGCCATTTCCCCAACCAAACAAGCAATCCATACCCAGGTGCACCAAATTTAGCTGTCAATAGTGGGTATGCAAAGAAAAATAGAGAGGGTGCTTGGGGGGCACTATATAAATGCAAGTTGTTGTTGTTGATTTATGCCACAAAAGTAGAAATAGGAACCAATACCTTCAAATACAGAAACTTCTGGTATATTTATACCAGGTGCATACTATACCTGATATACAATATACTAGGAACCTGATATTCTTCATATTCTTAGGCTGAAGAAAATGTAAGAGAATGGGAAGTTATGGAAAACCGCGAAATTCAGTCTTAACTATCTTCCAAACTAAGGCTGAATTTAAGAGTATTTTTTCCAAAATTCAAGATCTTAAAATTTTAAGACAATAGCCTTACACTTAAGAACATGAAAAAAATCAGACCCCTGACATAATAGACAGATATTCTGGAGTTAGTACAAATTCATTTTTCCTTGCAAACTACAACAAACACCACAGCTTGTGTAGTTATAGGCTTTTACAACAACAATTTGGATTTATATAGCGCCCTCCATGCCGGATGGCGTCTCAGAGCGTTTCACAGTAACGGGTCCCGGGGCCGAGCCAGGGGGATGGAGAGGAAGGTGACCAAAGGCGCGGTCGAAAAGAAAGGTCTTCAGTCAAGACCTGAAAGTGGGAAGAGAGGGGGCAAGGCAAAAGGAGTGAGAAAGGGAGTTCCAGAGCCTCGGGGCGTAGTGGTTGAAGGCAAGGCCACCAATGGTAGTGGGGTGCAGAGGAGTGGACGGATTTGAAGACAAGGGTGAGGACCTTGAAGTCGATCCTCTCTGGGACAGGCAGCCAGTGCAGTCTGGCAAGGACTGGGGTAATCGGGGAGTGGAGTTTGGTGCGGATAAGAATGCGGGCGGCAGAGTTTTGCATGACCTGGATTTTATGAATGGTAGTGGAGGAGAGACCGGTGAGGAGGGCATTTGAATAGTCCAGCCGAGAGGTGACAAAGACATGGACCGAGGTTTCAGTGGCTTTTGGAGTGAGATATTGGTGGAGACGGGCGATGCGTTGGAGGTGGAAGAAAGCGGTGCTGGTGAGGGACCGGATGTGGGGGTCGAACCTGACGCCTAGGTTGCATACCCCACAACTGCTTATATGGGGAATTCCTAAAGCTCTATTGACCGTTTTTAGAGAAAGGTACAATCAAACACTTGGCAAGCGACATGGCACATCCGCATCATTGCCCCAACATTATAAGGGGAGAATATATAAAAGTATCAGCATGTGTGTGCAGCCATCAGATTCACATTCATACAAATTTGTTTGTATCTTTTTCACATTTGGGAAAATAATTCATTTAGCTCTAACAACTTGTGAACTCACCTGTGCATCTGATACAGAGTTCTGTGGGAACATCTGAGTACTGAGGTTGTCTTTGCCCCATCCATCTAAAACAAGGGACTTTCTTACTTTCTTGAAAGGAGCAGTTCGCTGTGATGGGAGGAGAGAGAAGAAGAAAAAGATTACAAAGCAAGCAAAATAAATTTAATCACTAATAAAATTCAGACCACAAAAAGAATTTAAGAACCAAAGTTTAAGTTACTACCTCCTGGTCGCACATTTTGAAGCGAGGCTCGATACCATCTCCAAATAGTATGTCAGTGCCAGTCTCTTTCCTTAGAACCTCTCGAATGTCTTCCTCTAAATGTGCAAGCGATTGAGGCTGGTAGACACAAAAATAATTAAATTTTCTTAAAACAACTAACTTTCAACTGATAAGATTAAATGCTCTACTGCATCTTTTTTTTAAGGATTTTTGCGTTTTTTTTAAAAAAAATCAGGGTTTTTCGGGGGGGGATTCCACTTACTTTTAATAGATGATTCATATGGGCCTGCGCACACGGAGAGGATTCATGTCCAGTGCATGTCAGGAAGCTAACAGTTTACAGGTTTTGTTGTGTTAAATCGGATAATCACCAATTTTTAAAAAAATCGGGGTGTGCAGTTCAAGCAAACAAAAAAAATCAGAAGCCCTTTAGATAATTGAGGTATTTATAATTGAGAAAAAAGCTGTTTGCCATTTTAAAAATATTGTTGATATCCTACACTGTGATACTTTGGCGAGCAGTCCATTGGAGGTCAGACAAAATCATGGACTCAGATGAATAGAGAGATTTGCTGTTTATATTGGACAACCGGAATGGAGAACAACAGAAAAGAGTGGCAAGAGAAGATCAAGGCAGATTTTCTGCTACCTAGTGAGTGTTGATGAATAAACATACCACCATTCTAAGTGGTCCATATTTCTTTTCCTGGGCAGCAAGTGCATTCTTGAAAGGGGTTGGAGTCCTTGGTGTGCTGTCTAAAACCGTTCGTCTTATTGTGGGAGTTCTGAAACTGCATAACCACATACACACACACACACACAAATGGATTCTGGTGCCAAATACGGAATAAATATCATCATATGCATTTCAAATCATTCAGCCTAGTCAATTGAACACAATACATGGAGATGAGGTTATTGAGCAAGCTGAAAGAATAGATAATAGTGTTTTTGCAGGAAATGGGAGTTTTCCAAAGGGATTTTCAATGTGTGGTTAGGCAAAACAAGAGAACATTCAATGTATGAATTAAGAGTTAAGTAATCATCAATTTAAAAAATATTTTGAAGACCATTGGTTACACACACCAAATATTAGCTTGAGAAACCTAATAATTGAACTTAATATTGCACCATCTTAAAACTTCCAGACGTATACTTTTACCCTCTTGCTCTAATGGACACCTCTAAAATAATTTTAGAAAACTGATTTTATGCATGATAATATACATAATTAAATAATTTCTTGATACTATCACAAAACGCTGCACTTCTCTTATCAGTTTTTCCATCCCTCTGCAGAATCTAATCAACAATGACCACTGAATATAAATCTAGGTACTGTCAGTCACAGCTAGGTCTTGCTTAAGATGAAAAAAACAATCCTTTTTTAACTCAACCAGGCGTCTTATTTAACCCATTCATTTTAAAACAATTTCAAACATTCAGGTCCACATGCCTTCATTGGGACATGCTTTCGCTGGAATTACGTAACTGCCAGAAAAGGAAGCAACTTTCTTACTCTCCACTTCCAAATAAATTGTTCTACGGGAGCAAATGGTCTATCTACCTACACATGCTGTGGTTGATTTACTTCTATACGAAGAGTCTATGTAAAGATAGAAAGAAAACATAAGGAAGAACATACTCTAAAGACGACATGCTGTGAGGTTCTATTTAAAGTTTCTTTAGGGAAAGGAAAGAAAATAGGGGAAAATATTTTAAAAGCAATTGTTTCACAATTTTTTTAATGCATCTTAAGAGAAAGCTAATTAAATCTGCTTACCCTGCATTTTCCTTCTGAACCTTAGGCGTCTGGTCTTTACGAAGTGGCGTTGTGACGAGAAGTTTCTGTCCACAGACTGGGGTAGATGTCAGTGCCGGGTTGTCAAGGTTCAGGTGATCATTGCCAGAGTAAATGTTAAAAAACTAGAAGAAACATTTTCATTTTAAAAAAGTGTTAACTTTTGGTATTTGGTCATATTTATCCTCTTTATTAAATCATAAAAGCAGAAAAGATCCTCAATCAGTACAGGCACCAGACCAAAAATAACTTTTAAGATGAGAAAAGGCCATCTAATTCAGCATCACAATGAAAGCGAGTCTCCAAGCATTAGTAATATAAATGGCTTGAATTTACAAGGGGAAGAAGACCCAAGGCCCAAGATTCACTGATCTTCCGAGGACCATTTCCATCAGGTTTTGCGAGCTTGAAGTCAACCTCATAACATTTTCAGAACAAACCTCTCTCAGCAATTCAGTCAAAATATAAACCAATATTCTGCAAGATCTATCGTGTTTCCTTTGAATAGATTGTCCAAATCCAACACTCACGGCAGTAAATTTCAACACAAGTTAACGATAGAATCAATACAGCACAGAAAGAGGCCATTCAGCCCATCGAGTCTGTGCCGGCTCTTTGAAAAGAGCAATGTAATGTCAATCCAATTTCCCAGCCCTTTCCCCATAATCCTGCAAACCCGTCCTCCTCAAAAACCCATCCACCGCGTTTTTAAAAGTAGTTATTGAATTGGCCTCCACCACCCCTTCAGGCAATACATTCCAGATTCGAACAACTCGCTGTGTGAAAAAAATTATTTTCACCTCCCCTCTGCTTCTTTTAGAGACTATTTTAAATCTGTGACCTCGAGTCACCGACACACCCACCAGTGGAAACAGGTTTTCTCTTTCTAACCTATCAAATCCCCTCATGATTTTGAAAACCTCTATTAGGTCTCCTCGTAACCTTCTCTGCTCCAATGAGAATAATCCCAGCCTCACTAGCCTTTCCTCATAATCAAGGTCCCTCATTCCTGGTATCATCCTTGTAAATCTCCTCTGCACCCTTTCCGATGCCTTAACATCCTTCCTATAGTGTGGTGACCAGAACTGGGCGCAGTATTCTAACTGAGGCCTTACCAGTGTTTTATATAGATTAATCATAACTTCCTGACTCTTGTACTCTATGCCCCTATTTATAAAGCCTAGTATCCCATATGCCCTTTTTACAGCTTTATCTACCTGTCCTGCCACCTTCAAGGATTCATTTACCTGCACCCCCAGGTCTCTGTTCCTTCACCCGCCCCCCCCCTTAAGATTGTATTACCAGCCTATATTGCCTCCCCTCATCCTTTCTTCCAAAATGCATTACCTCGCATTTCTCCACATTGAAATTTGTCTGCCATGTGTCTGCCCATTTTACCATTCTATGTCTTCCTGCGGTTGGCTACTATCCTTCTCACTGTTTACTATCCTACCTAACTTTGTGTCATCCACAAACTTGGAAATGGTACTTGCTATACCCAAGTCTAGATCATTTATATATATATTTATATATATATATATATAAGAAGAACAGAGGTCCTAATACCGAACCCTGGGGGACACCACTGTACACTTCCCTCCAATCAGAAGAGCAGCCATTCACCACAACTCCCTGCTTTCTATCTTCCAGCCAGTTCTGGATCCGTGCTGCCACTGTCCCTTTTATACCATGGGCTTCTATTTTTCTTACAAGTCTTTTATGTGGCACTTTATCAAATGCCTTTTGAAAGTCCATATAAACTACATCTATTGCACTACCATCATCCACCCTCTTCGTTACCTCATCGAAAAATTCGATACACAAGCAATTTCTTATAAATTCTCATTTTGTTAAATGGCTACTCAATTTTTTTTAAAAAAGCAGGTTCATCCAACAATACAAGTCTCTTTATAAAGAGAACAACTAGATGTGCCCAATTTAAAATGGCATATTTATATTCATAAACTTTACTGCATTTACTAAAAAGCAATACAAAATAGAAATGTTTGAGCAATCCTGAAACTAACCAAGTCTAACTACAAACTGCTACTTGTGTTAGCTATGACAGTGCTGAATGTTATACCTGAGAAGGAGAAAAGGGTAATACTTTCACTGGAGTGCTTTTGGGGCTCGTTGTACTGATGTCCATGAAAGAAGCACTGTTAGAGTCACTAGATGGAGATGGGCCAACCCTGGATCTCCTTTTCCTCCTCAAAATGGTTGGCGGTGTGCTGAACTTGGCAACGATAGGAGATGCTATAGGAATGAGGTCACCCTGTCCACTGCTGTTACTGCAAGTACTTCCACTCAGGTCTGAAACAGCACGACCATCAAAGCGGTAAGCTATTCCACCTCTGGTCTGCAAACGCTCATGCTTAGCTGAAGTCTGTCTTGTAGGTGTTTTCTCAGTGACTTCAGACAAGTCAAAGTTAGATATTTCATTCCACACTACAGGATCCTGGGAGTAAGAAAGCCAATAGTTATTTAAACTCGGATAAGAATTTGCAAAAAGTGCATGATTTTAAACGCAAAATATAGACCTAAAAAGTATTACTTTTGTCACTAAATTTAAAAAAAATGCAGTACTTAGTGTTTGATTTCTTTGTACTCATTTAGCTTTCAGGATCGAATGAATAGGTCCTTTATTAAAACAAGGTGCAGTGAAAAGAAAGGTTGTTGCAGTTTGAATACAAGTTGACTGATGTCATCATATTCTATTGTTATGGTTACTGTAATTGTTTAGTTCTACAGATCATTTAGGAATGAAGACTGTTGGGAATACAATATGCTATAATTAAAAGCAAAACAGCTCCACCAACAGCACATAATATAATAAAGTAAAGGAATAAAGATTTCAAAATAGAGAACACAAAGAATCAAATGTTTAATTCAGAAAAAGTGGCCAAATATTGGGCTGTAATCATATTCAAATAATGGAGACAATAAAACAATATATACAGGAGGGCAAAATTTAAAACAAAAAAGCTGAAATTCCAACCCCAAGTTAAATCCTAGTGTTTCTCAGATATATATTAAGCAGATGCAGTGATTTCTTCCAAATGCATCAAGTGAAGCCGCTAAAACGACAGTAGCTTACACTCGCAAGAAATAAACAGAAAGACAGGGACACGATATTTCTTGAAGTCTCAATGATACATTCACAGAAAGTAAAAGAAAGGCTGTTAACTGGCAGGTGAGACTGATCTGCAAGCCTGTCACCAAGGAGCCGACTTTTCTTCACTGGGAACTCTAACCAAGGCCTCTCACTGAGCTAAAGCAGGTAGTTAGATTTCAAAAATAATTTCATCAACCAAGATCTAATACTTGCATTTGATATAATATCTACTGAAACATCTCAAAGTCTTCTGTAGTAATTACTCATAAGTACAGCAATTATACTTGTAGATAAATATGGCGACCAATTTGCACACAAGGTGCTACAAGCAGCAAGGAAAAAATAACCTGTGCCCATAGAAAAGTGTAGCAATATTTGCCAAAAATTGCAGGGAAATTTGAAAATTTTGCAGGAAATTGTCAGAGTTGTTTGGTGCTATTGAGGTACATTTTACTGCCAACGAACATTTTTTCACTTTATTGCGAAAAGCTAAACATGAGGAAATAACACATATTAGATTGTTGCAATTTTCAAAATAATTTCTACTTTAACAAAAACTGGATGGCCATGGTGGGAGGGACAGGGACAGACAAGCACGGGCCCAAAGGGCCTGGAGATCCACCAAAAAAGACACTCAGGACCAGCGTCCTGACGTGTGGCTACAGGAGCTCACCACCATCTGCCTCTCAGGGCCCAGCATCGCACACAGACACATACAGCCAGAGACACACTTAGTCACAGAGACACTTAGCCACAGAGACACACACACTCAGCCACAGAGACACTCAGCCACAGAGAGGCACACACACACTGAGATATATACACACTCAGACACAGAGACACACACACACAGACAGGAGAGAGAGAGAGAAAGAGACACACATACACATTCACACACACTCACAGACATTTACAAACACATAGAGACGCTCACAAGCACATACAGAAAGAGAAACACACACACACAGACACAACAGCAGGGTCTCAGAGTGGAGTGTAGCCTATTTCCCGCTTGTGTCCAGAGCTGCTCTGCCCACAGTAATGTCAGGTAAACAGCGTGAGAGGCCCAAGGCCAGAAACTTCATTTTTAGAGTGTTTGTAGTGGAGGGGGGTGTTTATAGCAGATTCCGCAGAAAATGTGTGGCCACACTTTTCTATTAGCCCAGGAGATAAACAATTTATTGAGGACATTTGTTGGCCAAGATGCCAGGAGAAACTTCTCTTTTTGAACAGTGAAATTGTCGCTTAACAACCCCTTGAACAGATGGGAACTCACTAGTCTCTCCTTTCTACAAAATTTCCACCTTTGAAGTCTATGTCCCTTAGTTTCATTATCAAAGTTAAGTACTGAAAGCAATCAACCAAATAAACACACACACACAGAAACATAAAAGGATGCTGGTACGAGTAACCCAATGAATCAATCTACAGAACTATTTCGGAACACTGAATTTATCTGATATAGCTCACATCATGTTGTCGGAACGTCTCAATGCACTTCGTTGTATTTACTGTAAAGTAAAGTGACGGTGTATTAATCTAGGTTAACAGTTCAGTGTAAGGTTGGGGGTAGCCCTGCATTGTCAAAGGTGTCATCTTTCATGAGACATTAATTCAAGGTCTCGTCTGCCTGTTCAAGTGAACCTTAAAGATCCCAGCACAGTATTTGAAAGACAAGTTGGTGTCTTGGCCAACAAACTTCCGGATAAAATTGGTCACTATTTCGTGGTTGTATGAGGGACGCTGCTGGGCACAAACTGGCTGCCATATTCACCTATAAATACAATCACTATGATTTACAGTAAATCCTGTGAAGAGCTTTGAAATGTTTTAACAGAAAAAGACTTATCAAATGCAAAGATTATTTTATTACTAATCCTATTTTCCTCCTAGTTACCATTCTTAATAGTTATTGTTGAAATAGTACATTATTTCCACAAAACCAGAAAGAAGGGATGTGGAAATACATCCACAAGGTTGGGACAGAATAAATCTCCCATTGTCAGCACAGATGTTCTGCTTTGCAAGATCGATTATTGAGCCACTGCTGAAAGAATATTCAGAAACCAATACCCAGAATAAGGTGATCAGAATTTGGTTCTCCATTTTCAATATTCTGCATGAAGAATCAAAGGGTAGAATGGAAACAGAGGAACGTTTATTACCATAAGACTGCCATCAATGCTAATATATCCTTGGTTCACCAAGGTTGATAGGGCGATTACAGATCTCTGGATAAAACCAAATTTCAAAGTGCAGTTGAAGGACTTCCACATGGATTCACACATGGGCTCAGCCACCAACACTAAACAGAGTCAGCAACTAAAATGTGAGAAGTGTGGGATGGAGAGCTCAACTGATCAGCGGTGAACATGGACAAAGAATTTGGTGTTCAGGATACCAAAACAAAATATACTTAATCAACAAAAGGTTTATATAATCTTCCATCATAAATGGATTAAGTTGGTACACAAGCATTGTTTCACCAAATAAATTATGAAAACAGTGTTTAGGAGGTCCACCCACTCAAACAATTTCTATGTAATAAGATTACATGTGATAATAAGAAAGCTCATTTCTTGAAGCAAAAGATTGAAATGAAAGGATAACAGGCAAGATAAAAAAAATTGTATTAAGGGCTGCAAATAAAAAAAATTGTAGTAATCCTACAATTTTTCTAAAGAATGTCTTTAAAAAAACAGAAAAATATACTTTATGCATGAATATTTGGTTTGTTATTGTGGAGATGGTAAAAAAAACTCATTTTGAAACAAGCATATATTTATACAGCGCCCTTCCCACAGGCAGAGGCTGAAAGCTCAATAGTGGTGGAGCCTGATGCCGAGCTGGGGGTGGGGAGGTTAGCATGGTCGAAGCATCTCAGCTTATTGCTCACCTTTAAAAATTAAAAGAGACGATAAAAAAAGAAAAAAAAAAGAAAAAAAACTTACCGCTTCTATGAGTTCAAATGTCTTAGCAAAATCAGGAATAGACTGCAGAGTGTTAAGAACTGCACTCTGCTCCTGTGCAAAAAACCTGTTGAGGGAGGTCTGCTGTACAGGTGGGTTTGGTCCATGGAGTGTCTCCTTGCTGAAAGTTTCACTTGGCTTTTCTTCCAGGCTGCTCAAGGTGCTGGACAAACTGTCATCACCAAAGAAACTTCTGGACCAGCTGGTAAAACCACTAGCCTCGTGTGGCTGAACAAAACCAAAAAAGGAAAAAAAATAAAACAAACTAGGAATTTACTGTGGAATACACTGGTGTGGTTTAGAGTTATTACACAGTAATTATAAACAGTAAAACAATGTTTTAGACTTGGAAGAAACATGAATGATTTAAACAAATGGAGTAAACCAACACAATTTACTTTATATAAAAATAAAACACTATGGAAAAGGAATTTAAAATCCTCAATAGGTTAATTCAAACATAGACTACACTTCAAATTGTAATCCTTGCATTTGATATAGAACCACATAATATCGTCAAAATGTCTCAAATTTCTTCACAGGATTTTCTTTAATAAAACTAGTGTTACTTATTCTACGAATGAATGAAAAATGGTTCACTAATGCATCAAGTGGTAAAGTACTCTAGTCCTAAATTCCACAATTTATCATACCATTTCTAATCCATACGGAATTTGCTTTCTTATCTACTCAGTTATCAGAAAACATTACAAGCAGAAATGTAGTTGAATTCCGCTAGTTTATATTGGATTTCAGTTTTTATGTTCAACCTACTAATCTTTTTCAAACCTTGGATATCCATCTATTTCAAATAATCCATTACAATGAACCCAACAGTAAATGCTTACCAACACAAAAGTTTGACTACATCAAAATGTTACATTAGTTTCCAATGCAGTGGTTTTGAAAACAATTCAAAGAGTTAATTATTAGTGTAAATCATCACAATGCAAAAGTAAATGAGAAGAAAGCACAGATGAAAATAGCAAGTCTAAAATTTAAAAAAATGCCTAAGCAATCTAAAAGGTTGTGAGTGCATACAGAATCCTTACAGCTACTGCTCGCTTTCTTCTGACTTCATTCTCTGCTGACATTAGAAGAATTTCGAGTTCCTTTATTCTTTGCTCTTTATCAGGATCATCATCAAGATATGGCTGCTGAATTAACATGTAAGAGAGAGGAAAAGGAACAAATGGAGAGTGACAGGAAGAGATAGTGATACTTGGTTTCTTCTTTTGTTTAAGTGCACAAACTCTTAACAGGTTATCAGTGACAGATTGAGTGTGTAAAAGCTGGTGGTTTTATATGATCTAACCCTCATCAGGAGTCAGTTGTTGTAACCAAATTAAAAAGTACTGGAATTTTTTTGCAAGACATTTTTCTGGATGTAGAATAGCTTCATTGCTTATATCAATGCAGTGGCCATTGCAGTTTCACAAAAGGCTACAAATTATATTTTGAACCCTGAAGCCCTTTGCAGACTTACAGGGTTCTCAAAACACATCTTTTAAAATACTTTATTCAGATGGTACAAAACGGGGCACACAATAGATTAGAAGCTACAGAACTGTTGAAAAACATCTATTATGTCCAGATTTATAACTAGAAGCATCATGGATAACCAGAACAGAATAGGATACAATTTAAAAAGGTAAAGCACAATGCGTGGTTATGTGACAAACAGAAGACATTTTTAAAAAATGATTAGGTTAAAACCATGAAAATATATTAACACATGATCATCAGCTGAATCAATCCTAATTACGATTAAGTAAATGCATCGATTTTCACACTAGGGAGAGGGAAATAGAAGGGTAGGGAGTGAGTAAGGAACAGGTGAAGACGCACGTGGAGGAAATGCACTGGCATGGACTGATTGGGCCAAGTGGCCTGTTTCCATGCTGTACATCCTTTGTAAATTTGCTTGAAAACAAACAAAAGTTGGTCTCTTACTCACTTGAGGAAATCCTGCTGTGTCTTGAACATTCTCTATACAGCCCTCTTCTGTACCCAAGTACTGATGACCTTGGGCCTTAGAAATAAAATACATCAGTTTTACATCACTTTTAATGGCGATTTTTTAAAAAAAAGTGCAAAATAACAGTCCCCCAAAAAAGGAATTGTATGGAAAACTGACAAAAAACGAACAAGCAATTTACCTGGGTGGGCACAGGAATGAAAAACTGGTTTTCGAACTGCATGGGGTTCAAAGGAGCCCTGGGTGCTTTAGGTTGAACACCAGAAATAGACAAGTCACATTTGGGCACTGTTTGCAGATATCCCTCCTGCTCCACCTTCCTTCTCATTGTAGAATTCCAATGGTTCTTGATTGAATTATCTGTCCTATGTGGATTTACAGCAATGGAATATTTAAAAACAATTGGTTATCAGTAATGCAAAATGTCAAACTTGTGGCACAAGCATAGCAACATTAATTTTATACATCTGACCTACTGACCAAATCAACACTTTCATTACGTCTGGCTTGACTACACCAGCTCCCTGCTCACTGGACTTCCCAACTCTTTCCTCCACAAGCTGCAGATTATTCAGAACTCTGCAGCTCGTGTCCTCTCCCACACCAGGCTCGCCACACTTCTTGCCCCACCATTGGCGGTCAGACATTCAGCATCTCTTCTCCCGCACTCTAGAACTCTATCCCGCAATCCCTCTGCCTCACCCGCTCTCTTGCCTCCCCGCCTGAAGAACTTCCTCTTCGATTGTGCCTTCGGCCACCCTCCGACACCCACCCCCCTGCTCTCCTCTCCTTCTGACCCCAACTCTGGTCTAAAACCCGATTGTCCAGCGCCCTGGGACATCTTTCCAAAGTTAAGGTGCTGTACAAGTGTAATTTGTTGTTGTATTGTACAAACGAACTAGAAGTTATACTAACTACAACAACGACTTGCACTTACATTATGTACATGGGGTAGAGTGCAAGAGACTTAAGTAATAAGTAAAAAAAGTTCCATTTCACATTCCTCACAAAAGCAAAACAGCTTAATGAATTCTCTCAATCTTTCTGAGTGAAATAGATATAACGTTAGATCACGTGATGGAACATACCTTCCAGGAAGCAATTTTGCAATTTCAGCCCAACGATTTCCTAGACGTTTGTGTGCATCATAAATTATCTTGTCTTCTTCCTCTGTCCAGGAAGATTTTTTAACTTCAGGATTTAAATGATTGTGCCATCTTTCACGGCACTGCTTTCCAATCCTGCCTTTTAAGTATTTAGCAATCAATGACCAACGTTTTGGACCATACTTCTGAACTAAGTCAATTACCTAGAGAGGGGAAAATAAACATATAATAGGGTCACATGATGACAACCTAATTTACTTTATATTGGATTCAATTTCATGCAAGTGTCTGATTAAAGTCAATCACAGGAGAAAATACATGCTAGAGCAAAATAAGTTTATTTTTAATAATAAAAAGACAAGCTTGCCATAACCAAATAGCTTCAGAGCAGGCCCCCTCTCCATCCAATCACAAGGCCATTTCATGGCACATCTCTGGAGTAAATCAATTAGTTTGAAAAACTACAGCAGTAGAATATCTGCTATCACCTTCAGATAGTTGGACCACAAATTAACATCAGGAAATGGAATATGCATTGAACTTTTCTTACAAAGCTAAGATGTATTGCCATGAATTCTAGACCTACATTTACAAGAAATGTGCCATGTGGATCTCTAGAAGCAACCGACTATTTTGAACATTTCCTCCTGCACCCATTCAAAAAGATGAATGAAAGGCAATTTTATAAAATAGGATTATGGAAAATGTTTGAACTAATTTTACAGTCTGAAGCATTTTTTAAATTAATTTCAGGCATTCTACACTCTTCCATTACCTTTTGATCTTCCTCCTTAGTCCACGGCCCTTTTATTAGCTCTGGATTCAGAACCTTTTGCCATCTATGCTGACACTGAACATCTGTGCGGTTCTGTAACATTCCAAAAAAATTGCTTCATCAAACTTATATTGTGCAATTGATTTTTATAATGAACTTTCTTGATTAGTGTGTGCAATTTCTCTACTACTTTAATATGTGCACAGGTTCTAAAATATATAGAAATTTATAAAAGACTATATAGCAAACGAAAATATTCAGCAAGTTTCCCACCTCCAATAAACTATCAAACCCCAGTGTAAAGTTATGTAGACGTTGGCAGAGAAGATAAGGCTTGAATGTGATGCCACAATACTCGAATGGTTTTGACAATACTTGGGAAAGTTTCAGACGAAAGTAGCCAACGAAGAAGATCCAAGCTTTGAATAAAACTAAGTTCCTGTCTTAATCTAGACTTCATTGTTCATACAGAAAAAAGTGTTTTTCAAAGCAAATATCAGAGCATTGCAATCATCATCATTTAAAATTCCAGACGACTTTCACTTACAACAAAATGATTAGCAATGAAATTCCAATCTTCTGTTCCATTTTCTTCAACAAGCTTCTTCAGCTTTTCATCCTGTTCAGCATAAACAAGAGCTCAATGACAATACATCGGAAATGCAAAGGTAATGATAGATGGAAACTACTTCATAACCACAATAAATCAGAACATTTCCAGTTATTCATCTGAGAATAATTGCATCTTAATTGGTATCATCATTATTTTTTAAAAACTAAAATGGACATTTAGGTACATTAGTAATGAGATTAAACAAATTCCTTTTGAATTTCATTTTCAAAGTTAAACAAAGATTTATACCTTCACCATTTTAAAGCAAGAACTTTTATTTTCAACTGTAAATGATAAACAAAAATTATGCACATATTCTCCTAGGATCATTCAGATTTACCTCATCAGGTGTCCATTTAACTTTGTTACAGAGCTTCTTTCCACCTTTTTGCTGAGGCATCTCGTAGTCACGATCTTGGAATTGATGCTCTTCCTCATCATCCTCACTGTTTCCAAAACAAACACTTACATTATATAGTTACTTACATTATATTACATTACTACCGTGTCTATTTATACACCAGTTAACATTCAATTGAGGAGTCCACTGAAATAATCCCTGCATTTGATATCAAGTTGTTGAATGCCTCAAAGTGCTTCACGGGATTTACAGCAGAATGTAGTACCGTACTTTTACAGCAATTCTGGCAGCCAATTTGCACACAGCAATGTCCCACAAACAGCCATGAAGTGAATTACTAATTTTACTAATGGAGGACTGTTGACCAGGACAGCAAGAGAAATTTTCTTGAATAATGATATAGGATCATTAACATTCACCTGAGCAGGTGGGACCTCAGTTTACAACAACAACAACAAGATTCCATTTATAGAGCGCCTTTCACGTCAGGAGGACGTCCCAAGGCGCTGTACAGTTGGGTCATGACCCGAGCAAGGGGGAAATGGTCAGGGTGAGGGAAGGGAAGGGAGGGAGCGAGGAGGGGGTAGAGAGTCGAGAGGGGAGCTGAAGGCTCGGTCAAAGAGAAAGGTCTTGAGACCGGCCTTGAAGGAGGAAAGGGAGGAGGCAGCGAAGGCACTGGGGGATAGAGTTTAACATTTCAAGAACAACAAATTGCATTGATGGAGCATCTTACATCGTGACGACATCCTAAGATGCTGGATCTTATCTGAAGGATAGACGTCAGGCCCAGGGAGGAATATTCAATTATTTCACATCTTACCACAATTCCCACATTTGTGATAAAACAGGTTTGTATACTCATATAAAAGATATTCAGACTCCTTATTAAACCCCACTTTTGTTAGGAACCAGAAAGCATCAAGTATCTATACGGTAGTTAACAGAACTTGGATTTGTAATGGCGCCTTTCACGTCCCAAGGCTTTAGTCCTGAAATGTCTAGTGTAAGTATCCATGGGATGCACATGCAATGTAATAGAATTATCACCAACGATCATCATGTGGGACATTCAATGCCTCAGATTCTTTCAATGTACATCAAGGCTTTGTTCACTTGACTAAAATGTTGCACACTATATTGAAGAAAATCACTGATGGCAACCTGTGCTAACAGTCATCCACAACAACAACTTGCTTTTATATGGTGCCCTACATGCCTGGCGGCATCCCAGAGCGCTTAAAAATGGTGGAGCCCAATGCCGAGCCTATAGCTATTTATCTAAAAAGTTTTGTTGGATCAAAGAAGGGACTCCAGAATTTATGAATATAGCCCTAGTTTATTCAGCCTATCCTCATAGGTCAGTCCCCTCATCCCAGGAACTAACCGAGTGAATCTATGCTGCAACCCCTCCAGGGCAAGTATCTCCTTTTTTAAATAAGGAGACCAAAACTGCACACAATACTCTAGGTGCGGTCTCACCAAAGCCCAATACAGTTGCAGCAAGACTTCCCTACTCTTGCACTCTAAACCTTTTGCAATGAACGCTAACATGCCGTTCGCCTTCTTAGTTGCTTGCTGCACCTCCAAACTAACTTTTTGAGACTGATGTACAAGGACACCCAAATCCCTCTGCACTCTAAACTATTTAATCTCTCCCCTTCTAGAAAATAATCTGCTTTTCTATTTTTTCTACCAAGGTGAATAACTTCACACTTCCCCACATTAAATTCCATCTGCCACCTACTCGCCCACTCCCCTAGCCTATCTATATCCCATTGCAATCTTTTTGCATCATCCTCAGAGCTTACTCTCCCACTTAGTTTAGTGTCATCCTCGAATTTAGATACATTACATTCAATGTCCTCGTCTAGATCATTGATGTAAATTGTAAATAGCTGAGGCCCAAGCACTGATCCTTGTGGCACTCCACTAGTCACATCCTGCCAATTCGAGAATGACCCGTTTATCCTTACTCTCTGTTTTCTACCCGTTAGCCACTCTTCAATCCATGCTCAGTCCTTGAACATCTTCAAGGCTGAGACTGATTGATTTTTTAAAAAAAGAGGGATTAAGGGATATGGGGATAGGGCAGGTAATTAGAGTTAGGTCTGAAGATCAGCCATGATCTTATTGAATGGCAGGGCAGGCTCGAGGGGCCAAATGGCCTACTCCTGCTCCTAATTCCTATGTTCTTATGAGGTTTACCCACAACAGGGATGGAAATTCCAATTGTGTATGAAGTCTGATGAGAATTACTTATCGAGTGGGAATAAGCTGCCTTGTTGATTAAAATTACATCTGGTCTGTACTGCTATTCATACTCTACGTGAGCTCCACCCCTCCTATTCCCTCTTCCATAGCTCTCCATTCAGTTTTTCGTTATGCATGCATTTTGAACATCAGAGTAGGAATCAAAAGCTGAAAGCAAAATGTGATCCTTCTCCTCTTTATCAGCACAAGAACAGTCACAATTCCCCATAACACTTTAAAATAACCCTTTCTATTGAAATTCATGCTCACTGCTAATTTTTCTAGTGGTGATAAGTAAACATTTAAGTGATTATAGACCAAGGAATGTATTATAGAGCCTATCAAGAACCATTTATAGAGGTAATAATGTTTGAAACATTACTCATTTTGTTTGTGCTTCATTTATACAACAACAACAAAATTACATTTGTATACAACAACAAAATTACATTTATAGAGCGCCTTTCAAGTCAGGAGGACATCCCAAAGCGCTGAACAGTCAGGTGTTGGGGCCTGAGCATGGGGGAAGCGTGGTGTAGGGTTGAGGAAAAGCAGAGAGGTGGGAGGGAGACCAAAGACACGATCGAAGAAAAGGGTCTGGAGACTTGAAGGAGGCAAGGGAGGAAGTGAGGCGAAGGGATCGTGGGATGGAGTTCCAGAGTGTAGGTGTAGAGAGGCTGAAAGCCGGGCCACTGATATTAGGGCGGGTCAGGTGGGAGACATGGAGCAGGCTGGAGCTCCATGAACGGAGGGAGCGGACAGGTTGGTAGGGAGTCAGCAGGTCAGAGAGGTAGGAGGGGGCACGGCCAATGTTGGCTTTAAAGGTAAGGACGAGAATCTTGAACTCAATCCTCTGGGGAGCCAGTATAGCACCTTTCATGTTGAGAAGACGTCCCAAGGTGCTGGAGAATCGGGGGGGGTGGAAACAGGTTGATCAGGTTGCGGGATGGAGTTCCAGAGGGTGGGGGCAGAGTGGCAGAAGGCCCACCTGCCAATGGTGGGGTGGGCGAGGCGGGGGAAGCGAAGCAGGCTGGAGCCTGCTGAGCGGAGGGAGCGGGCAAGATTGTTGGGGGTTAGGTGGTCGCAGAGGTAATGGGGGAGGGAGGCCATGGAGGGCTTTGAAGGTGAGGAAAATTTTGAAATTCTTATAGACTAAAATATTTCAACCTAAACCATAAAGCAACCATAGTATGGTAATGGAGGAAAGAAAGGAAATAAGTTTTATGTTAAATAATTACACATTACTTCCTCAACCCCATCCCCCACCCCATGGTAATACTGGAGACTAAACTTGCATTAAGTATTTTGTTGCTTTTAAGCACTCAACTGGAAAAGCTTGAAATGCACTTGGTTTATGTTATACATTTCAATTCATATTTGTAGATCAAATTAGAAAAGCTCCTAACAAGAATGAATGGCATAACAACCTGCTCACAATGGACCTTGGGACAACCCACCTTCCTCATAGCCTCTTATTATGCTGAAGATCAATGAAAAAGAAGGAACAACAACAAATTACATTTCTATAGCGCCTTTCATGTCAGGAGGATGTTCCAAGGCGCTGGACAGACAGGGATACGCACCCGAGCTGGTGGCTGGGATCAGAAGGGGTGGAGGGCGGGGAGGGTAGGGGTAGGAAGGTGACCAAAGGCACGGTCAAACAGCCGGGTCTTGAGACAGGTCATGAAGGAGGCAAGGGAGGGGGTGAGGTGGAGGGACAGTGGAATGCAGTTCCAGAGGGTGGAGGCAGATAGACTGAAGGCCTACCCGCCAATGATGGGGCGGGCAAGGCGGGCGACGTGAAGCAGGCGGGAGCGGACAGGTTGGTAGGGGGTTGGGAGGTTCACAGATGTAGGGAGGAACGAAGCAGTGGAGGAACAACACAAATGAACTGACATTAAATGAAGGCCCAGAATTACATGGAACAGCAGGTCTTCCAAAGGCCATGAGTGGCCTCTTGGCTTTTCAGGTACTACAAAGGTAAAGGTCTTGTGCGCCTACATAAAGTATTTGCAATAGAGCAAGTGACACCACGTTCTACAGATACCGAATCAGAGTCCAGTCCACTACTGCTTCCCACTATACAAGTATGATTTACACTATCACTCTTCTTTTCCTCCACCCTTCCTCACTATTATTTGAACATATATCAGGTCCACTGTCAAGCTGAACTGCAACACTTCGAAAAGTACTTAATGACTAAATATTTATACCATGGCCTTCATTGTGCAGCACGAGAGAACACCCACAACGGTATAATTTTCGTTCCAAAGATGGTCTAAGAGAATATGCTCATTTTTTGAACTCTAACAGCTGTATATTCCCTTCACCTGCAGTGACCAAGTGTTCCCTTAGCAACCGCACAGCTTCCAATGACCGGGAGATCCAAATAGAATAGTTCCTTAGAGCCACAGCCTTAGCAACAGAACCAAGTTTTCTTTTGACTTTTGGACAATATGCATCTAGACACGACCTCTAGACTTAAACCATGGTAAGCCTCCAATTCGCTTCAGTTCAAGCTTTTGAATCCCCCAAAACTTTACATTTATTCTGGATTGTATCAGCAATGTGAACAGAACTGCTTGATAACGATTTTTAATCTAATAGTACACACATCTTACAAATATTCATAACCCCGTTTAAGCCACTGAAATAATTTAACAATGAACTCTTGGGTTGAGAAACATAACTCCAGAAGGCTTCTAGGCATCATAACTGAAATATTTTACAACCCACACAACTGTATTTGAATAAGTTACAATGCTATTTTCCCCTTGCATATTCCATGGTTGAAATTTCAAAAGTGATCCAAATTATGTATTTTTTCTGTATGTA